GACATGGCAAATAATGCAGTTACTGATAAAATGAACTCATTTTTCAGTAAAAACTTCAGGCGATAAATTCTTTGATTGTTCTGTTGAACGGCAGAAGAGTGATGGGAAAAAGAAGTATGCATAATAGTGGGAAACACAAATACGTTAGAAATAACTGTCAGGAGTGTCGCTGTCGTTGCTGCTGCTGCTGCTGTTGCTGCTGCTGTTGTTGCTGTCAATATGCTCAAGCTCTCTTATTGATTGAATTTTTAACTGCTTTGAATAAAAAGTTCTTCCTTTACGTTGGAGTTTTTCTTCCTTCAAAATTTTCATTATCTAACTTTCTGTGGTACATGTTAAACATCTTTTTATCTATGATTTGTTCCCGAAAGCTTCGAAAGTAATCGTCTGGATTATCATATAGTAAACTTGATAGCATAAAAACACAGCACGTTATAAGTTCTGAAAGCCTGGGAAGGACGTTCTCACATAGCATTTAACTGAAACCAAGTTAATGAAATATACTGAAAGCATAATAAGCGTATGGATCTAGTTGAGCGGATGATTTGTCTTGCTAATCTGATATGTGCACCATCCTTGACAAAGCAGTCGCTAGGAGAGATTCCATTTATTGCAGAAACGATTTAGATACCAAATTAGTTGGTCTGAAGAAATTAGAATTTGAAGTGAATTAGGCATGCCATCGCAGAGAAGTGAAGAATAATGTCGTCATTTTACTTTCGGTATTTCTGGAACCCCGAACACGTTGCTAATTTTTAGGTAAAATGGAAAGATGAGTAAGGAATCAAAAGTAAAATGTGACGAATTAAAAATGAGAAGAGCAAGCAAGGGTAAACAGTTTTTTACCATATAGTCGAGAGTTAACCGTTCTTTCTATAATGGTTGCTACACAGCTATAAAGATAAAATTATAATCGAAAAGTAACAAGTAGATAAAGCATCTCAATCACCTTTTTTATCATGTATACAAGGTGTTGATAGAATTTTAATAACTTATAACAAAAATTTTAGCAGCAGAATATGGCATGGAAACGGATACAATGACGTTACAGCGTTTCGTCCTTCGTGATCAGCGGAAACATCCCACAGCAACCGGTGATCTTACTAATCTTTTGACATCACTGCTCACTGCTATTAAGGTAAGTTATCCTAACTTTTGAAATTTAAACTGAAATAGTAGCAATTTAAATCACTGAAGATATATGCTTCATCAAAGCCAATAAAATGAGATACTTCAGAGCCAAAATTAAGATAGTACTTGAAAGAAATAGTACTTAAAGGATGATAATAATTAGCAAGACTCGTTACTTATTAACAGCTACGAGTGAGGAAGATAGCTTACTAATTGCAAATCTAAGTAGCGAATTGCTATCGAACTTTGAAAAAACTTTACAACATAGACTGGAATGTAATAAATTTTGCAAAAAAATTTAGGCAATTTCAAGTGCCGTTCGAAAAGCAGGCATTGTACGATTGACAGGATTAGCAAACAAACAAAACATACAAGGTGAAGATGTCAAAAAATTGGATATCATTAGCAACGAATATATGATAAACATGCTTGAATCATCGTACACTACATGTGCAATGATTTCAGAAGAAAATGAAGAGGTTCTCAGATTTCACTTACCACATAATAATTTAATTTTTCTTGAATGGCAAGCAAATATCCTTAAAATTTTTTTATGGGATCAACTTAAGATCTTTTATGGGAATAGTTATGGAAAATATATGATGTCTTAGATTGGTGAAACCACATGTAAATGATATTTAAATTATATAATTTTAAGCTGATCAAAGTAGCTCCTTCTAAACAAGGCAAATACATCGTGACATTTGACCCACTGGATGGATCATCAAATATTGATTGTCTAGCATCAATTGGCACAATTTTCGGAATCTACAAAAAACAATCGGATAATCCCGTTTCTTTGGCTGATTTGCTACAAAGCGGACGAAATATGGTTGCAGCTGGTTATGCTTTATATGGTTCCGCCACTATGCTCGTGCTTTCAACAGGAAATGGCGTTAACGGATTTACACTTGACCCTGTACGTTCATCCTTTTTCTTTCTTCATTTCAAGGTTTTGATCAAACAAAAAACGCTTTAGAAGCTAATCTCATTAATCTAAAGTTTGAAACATGGTCATTTAAGAACTGCTCAAATTTATTATGGGCACCCCAGTTTCATTAGAAAGAATTGATTCTAGTTTTCATTTCCATCAAAATCTTTTTTAATTCATTTTTCATGAACTCTAGAGTGTTGGTGAATTTATCCTAACAAATCAGCAAATGAAAATACCACAAAAAGGAAAAATCTATAGCGTCAATGAAGGATATACATCTAAGTGGTCTAAAGGTGTTCAAGAATACGTACATACCAGAAAATATCCATCGGAAGGTGAACCTATGAATGCACGTTATGTTGGATCCATGGTTTCCGACATACACCGCACTCTGCTTTATGGTGGTATTTTTATGTATCCTGCAATGAAGGATAAGCCAATGGGAAAGGTATTTCTTTTCCCGTATCTTTCTTCATCATTCGAACTCAAATTCATTTTGATACCTAACATGAACTAGTCCTTAAAGGGAAGAATCTTTCAGCTAGGAAACAGTGTGCTTCGCAACATCATAGCATCTCGCATTGCAAGTAAAGTATTTAGTGTGTGAGGAAATTCGTGTCCACTGATCATGAATAACCCATAGCTTGTATAACTTGTCGCTTAATGAAAAATGACGAATGATTTATTTCATACTAAAAAGTAAACTATCATCAATTTAGCTTCGATTGCTTTACGAAGTGATTCCAATATCATACATCGTAGAACAAGCTGGAGGAATGGCGACGAATGGAATTAAACCTATACTTGATGTTGTGCCAACATCAATTCACGATCGGAGTCCAGTATTTCTTGGTTCTCCTGATGATGTACGAGAAGTTATGGATTTCATCAAGAAATATGATTCATAAGAAGCATGACGAACTAAACAGGAAACTACTACTTACTATTACTTATTATTAACTATTACATTCTCGACACTTACTTATACCTCACCTCCTAATACGAGTTTATATTATGCAAATAAATAGAACTCATTTGTAAAACTTTTTACTGTTTTGATGACAGTCTGGGATATTGATCCAAAAAAACGAATTCCATATCAACTAAAAATGATTTAAAGACACTATAATAGTACCAAGAAGAGATGGAACTTTCCGAAAAGAGTGAAAACTGTGGATTAGTTCCCGTGATTTTCTCACCATACAACAAACTAATTTGAAAGACAATTTAAAAATATTGAAACAAGTGAAGATAAAAACCACTGGCGCCTTTTCCAAGCCGAAATTGCCCAAAACACTTTCAAAACAAAATATAGGATTAAATGGGAAGCTAGGATTAATCAGTATTAGTCTTACCATCATTGGCACGTCAACTTAATTTAATAATTTTGAAGAAATTTCATGAAAAAATGCATTAACAAGAGTTTCGTAAAACAAATGCCAGTGCAAGACAAAACGCAATGCATTTGTTTTTTTAACACTACTTGTAGTTATACAGCGCAACAACACCGAAAAAAAACTTCCAACTTCAATTATAACCGTACACCAAAGCGGGAATAATTTTAACGCTTTTTCACGGCTTACTGAATACTGTTCAAAAGTAAATCACGATATTTAGATTTGGATTATAGAGTCAAATTGCAAGGCTGATCCAGAAATTAAACAAAAATAGTGAAAAAAGTTCCACAATAACACAATTCCATTATTATGAACTTTTTAATTCACTACTCAATAGATAACTATTACTGAAATTTGAGCATAAAAATGATAGAAATCAATAACCACTATACATAGGAAGGAAAATCCAATAGAACGAAGTAAGCTATCTTAGCTAACTGCACCTTTGTCCGATCACAACATTTGCAACTTTTTTCACGGAAAATCGTTTAAAACAGACAACTTTTTTTTCAAAAGCCGAACTACCAATCTAAGATCAAATCTACACCTGCGTCAGCATAGCAGCTCTAAGAATGTCAAAAAATTGTGCTGGAATAACAACGGTTCACAGAAACACTAATATAATGGCCCAAACAATTGTATGATTTACAACAGTTAAATGATTAAAGTTATCTGGGACAGAAGGCCCAACTATCAATCATCAGATTAGTTTCCATCCATTTTCCTTCAAAGATACATGCGTAACTTCATATGAATTGAATCCTTCTGATCAAAAAATAAATGGAACATTTAAAAATTCACAAAATATTCAAGCAGTTACACTGGAAAAAAATTGATTGATTATCCAAATAGTAGCACATCATTTTGACAAGTTAACGAAATGTAAGCATTCAAATCCAAATTTACAGCAAATGTAAAGCGAGTTCACAAACTTCGGAGGTAAAAAATCCTCAACAGCGTATATGATCCACTCTAAAATAACCCGATTTTTCTCTCGACTGAACTAAACATTACTGAAAATTCTACCTTTTCAAAGTTGTCCTCTCACTTCGGTGAGACAAACAAATCGTATACCGATAAAAGGGAACTACAAAATCAGCAGAAAGATGAAAACGTGGAGACAGAATAGTCGTGAATGGAAAGACAAAAAATAATAGAGCAAACAATTGAGTATGACGAAACAATCAAACATGGATATAAATGAGGAACAACAGGTAGGCAGAACTATATATCAGTTCTATTTTATCAGCAAAACGATTGAAAATGAGATATATCTGACCGATATAGCACATCCTTCAATCGCATGCATAAATAAATGCAGCACATGCATAGAGTATCCTCAAAAATTTTTCATCATTAAATAAAATTCATCTTTCCTTTTTACCATCAGTTACTAAATTCTAATGATAGCATGTCAAAATAACACCTAACCCTGGCATTTTTATTTTTTGATCTGTGTTACTCTGAAACTGGCATCCTTTTTCAAACGAAAGCAAAAAATAAAATTTGAACAATATAGAACCCGAAATAAGCGAAATTCATTTACCGCACTGTTTTCTTCCTTGTGCATGAGATATTGCATTTTTCTTAATCGTAGTATCAGACACCTTCAACTGAAAAACTATAAATTCATTTCAAAAGAACTTTAATGTGATTATATAGAAATCAAGAACTATAATTTAAAAATTGATAATTTAAAATGAATTCAAGTCGAATTTAAATTCGTCGGAAAAATTCTTTACAGATCTCTGGTATGACACTATTTACGTTGTGAAAAATAAAGTTTAAATATTGAAGTTTAATACTTTTTGATGCAGCAGTAAAGAAATAACAATATAATGGTAAAAAAGGAAAAGTTTTATTTCGCAAGAAATCGAACACTACCAAAACGGAATTTTGCCTGACATCTTCGTTGCTGTGCAGGAGCGAATTCCCAGCAAGCGTTGATGTGTTACCTTAAAACAGTTACAGAATGATTTTAAGACTCAAAAAATGTCGCAGATGCCTTAGTCTAAGGATCGTACTTTTCCAAAACTTTACTAACCGTACTTCAAAATATCACAGAAAGTGTGATATGTGCGAACAGAATGCTCCTTCCTAGAGTAAGACGTGTACAAATGTACACTGGAAATATCTGCACCCCAAATCCTTGAAAGCCTATAGTAATAGTAGTCAAAACGATCCGTGATATCCAGATTTGTATCACTATCGAATGGGAAAGAAAAACTGTGCACCTAAAAGCAATAGGGGCTTAGATGAAGGCAAACATAGCTCGAACGCATTGCTGTAGAATCGCTAGCACGGCAAAATAGCCCCGAATCAATTTAATTCAGTAATTAGGAAAGATAGAAAAAAGTATTTATATTGATGAGTAAAATATTTTATTCTTACTTTGTTCGCAGTTTTTATTACAACCAGTTTTGGGACCATTAGAATAATTCGGTATCCCACCACTTGTAAGATCGATGAAGTGACGTGCAATGTCCGTTTCGTTGTGAGTTGAAATATTTAGCAGTTCCCTAAGGCATGCATTCTCTGTTGCAAGCCTTGCTATTAACTGCAGAAAGTTTCTTTTAATCGAGTAACAAAAGAAAATCGTAATAATTTGATATGATGAAGTCTCCTATGATTGGGAACAACTTGTTTGACTAAACTGTTACTTCCATATATATAGGATAAGAGAGGAATAAGGTCTAACAAATTGCTAGCTATTATCTGCGCAGAATACACTTAATTTCAGCAATGCCAAAGATCTTCATAAACTGTGCCAACAGAAGAAATGAAAAAATAACCTCTTGATCATGATTCGAAACGCTCTCACCATCTGCAAGACATTCATTCAACAACCTTGAGAGATTGACGATTTTTTCGTTCATATGGCCTTCACATTTCTTGCTATTTTGCTACAAAAGATTTATAGACATTACTTTCAAATAAAATGTGAAGAATTAAATAGAAAAGGAAAAAAGGACCAAAAAACAAAGACAAATGTGGTAAATTTGCTAGTCGCTAATTATTTATTACAAAAAATGAAAAACAAAAATTTCAGCTTACTGCAACTGAGGTTCGAAATGATGGAATAAACTGCTTCGCAAGTTTTGTTATAACATCCCTATGCTTTTGCATTACTAATTGTAGGGTATTTTCGCAATCCTCCAACGCTTGGCGAAGCTCCCTAAATATTTCATTAGTTTAGTACGCTACTAGTGATCTCGAATAAACCTTGATGTTATAAAATTCGAAAGATAAACTTCATTTATTTTCCCCATATTATGTATAATCATGAGCGCTCTTTCTTTTATACCCACTGGAGCTATATAGAATCCAAGAATGAGGAATCATGTAAATCAAATTAGCTTGAGCTATATACTGTTTAATATCAAAAAACTATTACGTAAGCAAGGCAGCTAAATATCAATTCCACACCACAACACACCTGTTCTCTTGCTGTAACTGCAAAATTTGCCGGTTTTCATGTTGCAAGCCTGCAACAAGCACTTTGCGGCCTTGCATTCGCCAGCAATCATTCATACCTGCCACTTCTTCCTGGTACTAAAATTAAATTCTTCAAGTGACTAGCACACAACTTTTCACAAATCTTTCAACAACACTGTTGGTAGCGTTAGTATGTTGACTATCAAAGCTGCAATTTCGAGTTGTACCTCCTTTGCTAAGCACGGTTTTTCATTTCTCTTCAATACTGTACTGCAAAGGGTTACTTGACTATAAAGGATTACTTAAAAATTTGTCGCTTTAAATAATTTTTAGTGGAATTATTAAAGTATAACAGGCAATTTTTCGCCGATGCAGTTCCTGGCTTTTGCTTAGTTCTTTGATATGAATTATGTTCATTCCTTCCTTATTCACACTTTAAAAGATTAATTCAATATAATTTTTTAAATGTTTCTTTTAACAATATTTTTTTCTATATTTGACAGTAAAACAAGAATCAACCTGTATAATTACAAATACAAAACACTCCGATACCATTACAGTCCTGCAAAAAGCGGATCTTAAGATATATAGAGAACTCGAACAGGCATAATAAGTGAAGCAATATGTCTTCCATTTCATTTTAATACCTACATATAAAAAATTTCTAGAAAATTTCCTTACCTCTTTCATACCACAAATTTTATCATTAACAATCTGACTCTTTGCAAGCGCACTATCCGTAGCACGTTCACGTGTTTGCAAGTTGATCACAAGCTGACGCATATCAGCCATTAACTGACCGATACTTGTCGAGCTCATCGCTGAAAAGGAAAGAGAAATAATTTTCCACAATAAAAATGGTAATCCAATCAATAAAATTGGCCGATAATTTAACTGAATCTTAAGTCTCGCATTTCAAATCTCAGGAAGAAATACTAACCTCTAATGCTACTAGCAACCTCAACCAAACTTTTCAGGTAGCACTACAAAGCATATAAAAAGTCATGAAAGAGTTCCAAATCAATAAATAAATGCTCAAAAAGAACTGAGTCAATCCCTCCCACAGCAAGTAAATACATCAAAAATATAAGAAAATTCTTCAAACTTACAACGTTGCTTTGCTGATGGAAGTAGCAATCACTGCTAATTTATGTCATCCGTTCTATGGCGAAGTTTGAGATCTAAAATAATAAAATATTGATTGAAACTAAGTCTTCCTCTCTCTCTCTTCCCACACATATTATTTAATTGTTGTAATCGCAAAAAACCACCATACTCACACCTATACCCATACCTGCACTCACATACACACGTAATCACACGCATATACACACACCTACACTCCTATCAAACCACTTCGTAAAACACTTCCAAATAATATACCTGGTCGCTATACAAATGCTCCATCCCTTATTAAAGTCTTACGAGAATGGAGAGAGTAGGACTGGGAAATTGCTTGGGGAAAAGTTCAAATACCTTATAAGTGACTAGTATTGTCATGTCCGAATTAAAATTTAATTAAAGTATACAGATTAAGAGCTATAACATTATTTCTTTTATCTAAAGCAATATCCGTTATGCGACGAAATTGTCTAAAATTTAAAGAACATTTGATGAGTTTTTTCGATGTTGAATCTACTTTAAATTTTGAGCAAGGCAATATATATCACTGGAACATAGCTTTTTAAAGAAATGTAGGCACTGTCATCTAGGAGTATGCATGAATAGGACCAAACGATTGAATGTATTATGACAGATTGCAGCAATTTCGTTTTCTCTTGAATTTATCTTGTTTTATTTCATTGCATTTATTATATTTGTCGTTAATTGATAGCGATACATTAATTTCTATAATTCATCATTTTATTTGCCCGATCGAAATTTGAAACTGTAATCTTATCATTGCTATACTTGCATTCCAAGATGAGTTATTTAAGAAATACAGCAGAAATATTACGTTTGTCTGAACTTACCATTTCTCACTCAACTTTTCATATTAAAATTCAAGTTTGAATCAAACTTTCACAATGTAAAATTTTAATGTAGTATTTTATTACCGTTAATTCATCTTAGAAGTGAAAGTTATGATAATTAGAATTTGCCACTTGTGATGATGCTTTCTTTAACAGATCCTATGCAGTCAAATTTCTTAATTCTTTCACCATTATGAGTGTAGAAATTTCTTTGAAAAGTTATTTTAACACAAAATGCTATTTGCAAAATTGTTGTGTTATTAAGAAAAATGGAGCTTGAATATTGATGCCATAACAGTGTTAATGTACTGCATGCCTCCATGATGGTTGAGTTGATCAATACGAATTATCCTGCACTGTCGGTATACTTCCTTTTCATGGTCAGGTCACCTTTACTTCTCGAAATTACATTCCCAAAAATGTTGCAAAAAGAAGAAACAACAAATCAAACATTTGAGATTGACAAAAATACGCTATATGGCAGATGCTCGCAGAACTGATAAATATAAAGTTCATTACAATCGGTAGCACTTTCATATATTTTTTTTGCCTTAGATGTATGGGGAGTTAGAAATTTAATAACAGAGAAAAAAAGGACTAATGAGATGCAACAAAGTGCAAAAGATCTGCTATCCGAAGCAGATTATCTGATCCTTTCTCTTTTAAATATATTATATTTCTGAGCGAGTGATTTAAGAATGTATGTCAAAATATCACATTTCCAAGTATTATTATATGCGATGGACATGAAGGCAATATTTGTGTATTTGTTTTTTCACTTTCCAACCTTTAGATACGATTTTTTCACTTTAGTTTAATAACAGTCTGCAAAAACACAATGAGCATAAATATCGATAGTATGGCCGTAACTTCATAAATTCCAACCTTTTATGGCTTGAAAAAGAATACAGGTAAATTAAGAAAGCCTCGAGACAATAGAATAAATGCTGCTGATACAGGCAAATAAATCTTAAAATGGATCTAAATCTGATATGCGACCTGCTCTGAGTTTTGCTTGGATCTCTAGAACTGGAAAATTTAAACGAATTTTCCATCGTTTTTAATCTATTCTCACTTCAGAATGAACAAGTTTTCTTTTATTTTAGACAAAATCTAAATACATCAATATTTTATTAATGAATTAAAATTGTGAATCTCGTAAATTGATAGATTTGAATTTCTCTCGAAATTGCAGTAAATTTTTCTCGATTTTTTTGAATGTGAAAGTTTGTGATTATGTTGTGCAGTAATAACGCTAAATTTATCTACAACACGTTGATGAAGATTAAGGATGCGCATTATCTTTATTAGTATTCACAATAATACTGAAGTAGAAAAATAGCGGCGATAAGTACAGATGAAAAGAAAAAAAAAGGAAGGAAATGTAGTTTTGATAGTTTATGTTAGCTTATGTAATAAACTTTTTGAAGCATCTCTTCCTTTCATACATTTGAATCAAAATTGTAAAAGTTTCCGGAAAATGCGTTAAATTCACAACAAATGCTGGAATTTTTTCGTATTTCGCTCGCGACTGCCTTATGTCACTGTCGAAGTGATCCTTCAGCACGGTATATTACTATTTCTTTTGCTAAAATTCTGTTTTATTAGATTCAGATTTTAGTAGAAACTTCTGTCTTAAAAGATCTTTCAGGAGCAACCGACGGAAGCAAAAAGATCTGATTCTAAGTCAATGTCAGATCAATGGTATATTTTCCTCTTTATTTATTTTGGACGATATAATTTTGTTACCATTGTTTATGGCTGAAATACGATTTAGGCACAGAAATTATTGGCCAATATCAGGCATAAAAGCACGATGCAAATTGGAACAAAAAATTCTCATTCCTTAATGAAATCCATATCGTCTCACAATCGATTTCTAAACTAATCATTAACTAATTCATTTATTATAACAAATTTGCGCACATCCTGATTGAAAGTTTATTTAACAACGTTTAGTCTTGTTGTATTGTCTAATTTCTTGAGTTGAAAATTCGTATTAGTTTTGTGCCAGAATTTGAAGATATCAAATTTTGTTCGTCAAATACCATAGAACTATGTGTATAACTAAGCAACAATAGTTGTCCACCAAAAACTTGACAATATTGAGACAAACCGCAATGTTTGAGCTTACCTCAGCTTGATGTCAGTCCTTAGACATGTAGCGATATTAAATTTCACTCGAGAGATTCATCAGTGAAAATTGCTAAGCACGGTACGAAAGGCTTACCTTTGCTCATGCACTGCGTGAACTGCGTGAAACCTACCTGAGAAGGACGTTCAACATCAAAAGAGATTCGTATTTTAATCTTGGATCATTTCGACATTTTCCATTACACTGTAATTATAGCAAAACTTTCATTCTTAAATCTTGTTCTTCTAGAGAGAGTGAAAGAGGAAACAGCAAATGACCAGGAAGTTTATCGAATGAAGAACATCCAGAAAACCAACAAGTAGGTAAACTGGCAGTGCAGAGTTAATTTTCTTCACCAAAAATACAGGAATGAACAAATAATCAAACAGCTGGAAATTGAAACCTTTATAATCTGTTGGATTTCATTTACTGATTCTTACTTTAACCTTTCCACCATCTATTCTTCCATATCTGGAACAGATTACCCATTAGTAATTCCAGCAATGCAGTTTCTTTCAAACAGATTATAAGAATAGAACATATTCAGAACAGAAGAGAATCAGTTTGGTACTAAAAGACAACTTGATGGACGAAAATCACCACAACAGAAATTACCACCGCAAGACAAGTCAACAACATGCTCTGTACGAATGGCATCATTCGGTACACAAACTACTGTAGGTTATCTTTTTTTTTAAATTTATTTTTAAGTTACGATCAAATTCAAACGATTCCAATTAACTAATATGGAATTTATAATCGCTAATTATTTGATCTTAGAAATGATTTGCCGAGACTTTCTAACTGGCCAACATAAGACATGGTCATTTACATAACTGCAGAAAAAAACTTGAAATAACAAATCAAGACTGGAATCAAGTTAAATCATTTAAAGTATTGAAATAATGAAAGATCATTCAACAGCAGAACTGGCGATTTATAATTTTATTTCATCTGTAGCGCAAAGCAAATCTTTTCATAGAACATTTTAAGCGTAATTTAATGCACAAATCAGTCTACAGTAATTTTCATGATGACTTGAAAGACCTAGTATTATTGAACTTTCAACATTCAAGGTTTAGGAAGAATGGAAATTTAAAAGCGGTACAATAGTAGTATCCAAAGCCACCCAGACGCCACTATTCGCCACCTGCAACGAAGAAACCAATGGAAAAAAGGAATCCGAAGAAAATCTGAAGGTACAATTTTTCTTTTCCCATACTATGCCTTGTACGACAATATATAAATCAGCGCACTGGATATAGTGTAGAAAAGCAGATATTTTTATGCATTCATTAAAATATTCACTACAATAATAAAGAATTTGTTACTAGACGAGATGGACCAATCTACCAAACCTTTTTTAAATCTACCAATCTATAAGCCATTAGATAAAAAATGGAAACAAGTGTCTTAAGAGTTTTCTGATAAAGAACTTTAGATTCTATAATTGCTAATCCATCTTAATCCTGATTGATCATCTTTGATGCCCAGTATCATGTGCGTTTTTCCAGCTTCAAGCATGGAAAGATGCAAAATTTTTTGTGACAAATCAACTTCTAGCGCAATGTCTGCACACTCCCAACTGTACCGAAATATGATATTTAACAGGAAGTTATTCTTTAACTAAATCTTGAAATTTTCGTTTACCGAATTAAATTACGCTATGCTGACATCTTATACAATTTGAGAAAATCAATTAGACAATAAGCAACATTCTGTGCAGCAGATGTGCAAAGTGATTTTTCCGGAATGAGATTAGCTGATACGATATTTTTTTATCATTCCATTAGTCTAAAACAGTAGTTGAAGCAGGAACTGGTGCAGTTAGGTCATATTTTACATAATCGATGCAAAATATTAATATAATTACAGCCTCTATAATGACCAAAATGAAGCGTGGAATACCAACATAATCTACGAGAACTTCAACTTCTTCAGAAATCGTTGTAGGCGCAGCCAAAGGCCAAGATATTACAATTAGTGTAATGATAACTTCAATAACCAAAGCAGTGATCGCTAAAAAACTGAAAAAAACGAGAATAATTTTTCAAGATTATAATTAAGTACACTTGTTGCTCAAAAGAGAAACGGAGTGTAACTTACGTTCTTCGTAACCGTATACACACAATGCATAAAACAATATTAAAAATCCATATAAGTATCACGACAATAACACCAGGACCAACACCAAATATACGTATAGACATTCTCTGCAAAGTGCAAAAATTTTGTAAAAAATAAATGTGCAAAGAGAGAAGAAGAGGTAAGTCGTCTCAAACTTGCAAATAAATCAGTTTTTCATTAATGATACAACACATTGTTCGAAATGATCGAATCGTAAGTTGCAATTTTGAGAAAATGAGACATACAGATGACAAGTCAAAAATTTGAAAGCAAAAGTAACATAATGTTAAGACCTCTGTCATCTACATCATGATTATGCATGAACCTTCACCAAGACAACTGAAGTCACCAATAAATCAATCCATTTTTTTCAGGTTAACTTCAGGATTTTTCTTCCAACCACAATAAATGCACTAAATGAACATCATCCTATACTAACTAAACGACAGCAAAATACGGTTACTATAGAAACCATGCGCATCTTAGGTTAAATAAAGTAAATGCAGTACAACGAAAATTAGAGGTAGGTGTGGTGAAAATCGTAACAAGTCATATACTTCATGAACTCACCCTAATAAAATAGACTTCATCTTCCACAAATAATTGAAAATTTCCATTCCATAATCCTAAAAATTGAAGCATAATCAACTCATAAATACTGAACAAACACTGAACTAATGGGTTATTATGAGTGTAAGATCAGTAAGATGTATAATTTAATTTCCAAAAATGAAAAAAAATCAACTTAATGCAAAAAATAAGCAAGATGGTAAACATTGTGTATAAATTTAAAAATTTGTCCAAATTATCGATAATTTGGATCACCTGATCTTTACTGGTTTTTATAGCACTCGAGATTGGTGATTCCATGAGAATTGACAATTTTCTTTTTTTTCCTAAAAGAACTCAAAATAATACCTCCTTAAATACTCTCAGCGTTCAACTGACGCCACTATGCATTTAATGAATAGACCGTTCAAACATGTCACTGTCAAAAACAAGGAAAACGGAATTCAGTTGTGAAAATTTTGAATAAAATTTGAATGTTGGTAAAAAGTTTGAAAATAAGATATATAAAGACAGACATACCGTCATCAAAAATCATTTTGGTATCCGCAGTTCCTGAGCGGTGCGTCATCCGAACAACCTTCAGCTCAATTATTACTTATTGGTATTTTAAGGACATTTCTTCTTGGGCCTGGTGTGAACTTCCCTTAATCCAATTGACCCTATAATTGCTGATATTTCTACACTTTCCCTTTTGTTAAAAAAAGATATTAGCGACTTTATAGTGCTAATGGGGAATAGTTCGGAATAATTTTGCTTGTGGAAATAATAGTAATCCAAAAAAATAGATGTCCCCTTAACAATGTTGAGAAGTGGAAACCTTAGACACTTTCTGAAAATTAGGGAACCACAATTAAGAAATTCATTTGAAATAGCGAAAATTGTAAGTCTTCAAAAAACAAAAAATAATTTAATTGGTCCCTCATCTTTGACAATCAATAAGTAAATATTCTTCGGCTATTTCCTTGCATTTCTATTGGGCCAAGAGATTTGTAGGAGAATGTTCGGTCCACAATCACCCGATCTCTCCTCTTTTGTAGTAATCCAACATCCCTGACAATCTTGTTATACACCACTATTCTAGAATTCAATAATAGGTAGAATGCTGATAAGGAGGTTAGAGATTAAAAAGACTTGGAAGAGTATCGCTGAAATGTGATAAAATGGAACAAATGTAAGGATTTAGTGCAGCATGCAATCAGGGATTGAGAAGTTTCATGAATAGTGTGTAAAAAAAGGATGGAATAATTAAAAAAATGTTAGGTAGTGATCAGAAATAAACAAAAGAATATTCATGAGATTTTGGAAGCATAGAAACTCGCAAAATAGATAGGTCTTGCAACGATCGTTGGTATCCTGTATTAAAATGTTTTCAAATTATGTATTCCCTGAAGTTTTGTTTTCATTACTTTGAAGGAAAGTGTTGAATTGTTTGGTTTGGGTGACACTATTAGCAAGATAAGCGAGCATAATGTTAAAAATTATACGAATATGGCCGTTAAGGGAATTATTTTTAAGTCAGTTGAACTGATGTAAAGTAAAATAAAAATGCAAGTGAAGTAGCGTATGTTATAAATATTACCCTCCTCGCAATTTTGTATGGTGTTTGCATTAATATAGCACAAATTTGCGATCTAGACAGAAACTTGTGATAATATTCAAAACTAAGTATATATACATCGGGGTATAAAAGTACCGGAATGCTTACTATTAGCTTTTTCGCGTCTAAATGTGCTAGGTTATAGTATTATAATTTGTCACTTTGAAGCAAGTGAATTGAAATATAGCTGTAAAATATTAAATACTTTTGCATGAAACATATAGCGCGAACTGGAACTAAGTTTTGAAATTAACTAATTTCCCGTGACTTTGTGAATTTCAGACTATTGTTTTTGGTAATGCACTATTCTCTGATTGTGTCTGTTACCTCAGATAGAACAAATCAACTTCTAGAATCACCATACTCTTTATGGCTGGAACTGTGCAATATTTCCTTTTTAGTTCTCCGTGTTTTTTTTCGTCAAAAAATCCTCAAATTTGTATTCCAGAGTATGAAACCTACATAAAATGGAGCAGTCAAACACGCCAACGGAATATTACGCTGTATATATTCCGCCATCAGATGATGGGATATGTAATGAAGGTGCCGTATTCGCAACCCTGAGAGAAGCATCCAGTTTTGCGAACTCTCCGGAAAATAAAGCAAAGGGTTAGGCGTCCAAAATATCACACGGAATATTAAAGTGTAAATTTGCAACAAGAAATAGCTTGAATACCATGCATAAACTATTTCTGTATTCTGCAGGTGCTCGTTTCAAGCGCTTTCAAAATGAGGAAGACGCAAAAAATTACGCCGAAAATGGTGATATATTTTGCAAAAGCCCAGAAACAGTCAAAATTCAGCCTATAGGGGAGCCAAGTTCATCTTTCCCGTCCGTCTCACGTGTCATGTTCAATCGTTTGAAAAAGTCAATCGAATTAAAGGTGCTTGGTTATATGGTTTATGAATTTAAGAATAAAAAAAGATTCATCGTCGACAATTTCTCTTGCAGTCTTCTGTTTGATCTCACGACATTTTCCGCTGTTTTCTATTTTTGAAAGAGATTGCCATTTAGGACGATGGATCATTCTTGGCCATGGCTTTCCAAAATCCGCGTTATCTAATCAATATCGGAAGTGATACGCCAACAATTGTAGTCGAGGGTTTTCGTTATAATGCTATGCATCTGGCTGCTAAAGTTGGCAATTTAGATGTTGCTAAATATGTTCTGAGTCTTATCTGTGACACTGAAACATTACTTACTTTATATGGTTTGTGAATGGATTTAAATGATTTTTGAGTTTCTCTTTTTTAAATTCCTTGGTAAATTTCATTAAATTTGTTTCCTTTCGGAAGCTACTGCCAAAGAGTGGGAAGTTTCGTAGGATCAGAAGCTTACCCAAAAATCATAAAAAGTACATGTCATTTTTTTCGATTCCCGTAACGAAAATTTATTTAATGTTTAAGGGACATCGGAAGATGATGTTAGAATGCGCTCACGTATACTTCTGGATTGTTATCTCAATATGCCGGACAAGGGTGCACACGATACACCACTACATTTCGCATCTAAATTTGGACACCTTCATCTTGTTGAACTGCTTCTGAGTTACAATCTGTGTCAGAAAAATCCCATAAACAAGTAAGATGGTTATTAAATTTCTTCAAGGTGTAAACCGAAATTTATGAAAAAAACTAGGTCCACCATTGGAATCTCTGTTTATCTCTGTGAATTTTCTTCGTCTTTATTACAAGGGAAAAAACTTTAAATGGTAGCCTACACAGGCTTTCAATATGTGATGATTTAAGGTTAATTTTTTCTCAGAATTTTCTGTAGAAATTGATTCTTGTTGGCATTTAAATTAAATTCGCTTAAAAGTTCAGGTTTTAGGATGGGTTTAACTCCTGCTCAGATTTGTTGCACGAGATATGCTGGCGATGATAAGGAAGGTCTCATTAGTGCAATGTTGCCGCTTTTCGTGTCTTTCTTCGTTGCACTTTATCGTCCAACGGATAATTATTATTCAGTAATTATCCAACTTCTCGGTATGGTTTTCAAAGTTTTGTCAGTTCATTCAGCTAATGCCAAAATATCGTTCCTATTACTGTAGAGTATGGTACCTTTTTTTAACAATGAGGATAATGTATGTCTGCTTGTTAGGTCGCTATTAGTAAATGTTGCGCTACTTTTTTGTTTTGAACGATTACAGATGATTTACAGATGAAGTACCGCCTAATACACTTCCAAATGATGGACCTGGATCTTCGGTATGCTTGTCAGCTTTGGAAACATGCGAACTTGCTGCTTACGCTGGTAATTCTTGTTAAAAACTGAATGTCTTTTTCGTTTTAGTAGTTAACACAAAATAGACAAAGCGTCTACCTTGTAGATCCTTATTCATCAGTGGGGTAAGAAAGAAAGAGGACGTGAAATAGAATAGAAATTTAGTTGCGTTTAAGAAGCCGAGCAACAAGACGTAAGCAATAAATTGTTGCTGTCTTTTAGTCATCTTTATGTTTTATTTTCTAATATATAACCGTGATAAATTATTTAAGGACCGTTCTCTGATAGAGCTGTGGCACAGAAATTTTATGAAACATGGAAAACGGAGGAAAGAGATTCTCGTAGATCATATCCTCGAAAAGGAGCTGAACGTGTTGGGCGACGTCTTGCTAATGAAAACCAAGTAATTTGGATGGAGCGCTGGAATTTTTGCAATAAATTACTTGATTTTCAGTCTTGCGCTGGTCCGTCATGCTCTCTTTCAATGGAGTTTTACATTATTTTTTTGTAAGAAGAAACCATTCGTACCATTATATAAAACAAGAATTCTTTTGAACGGGAAAGTGTGGCGGAGTTTTCATTGCAGCAAAAAATGTGGAAAAAAACCGAAAATGTCAGTACTTCCTGTACTGAAACCTTGATTTATACAATTCATTATTACAGGACTTGAGGAATTAAATAGTTATCTTGTGAATATCAAATTGAATCCACCGCCATACTCAGTTTGCATCGTTCACCATGACGACTCTACTGTTTTTTCGGATGCTTCCGATGTCATGCTTCCGAAGGATTCAGGAAGTGAAAACGACACATCTGAAACCGATGATTCACACAGCATATCACTTAGTGGAATAATAGACAAGCAAGTTTTTCATTGTGTAACAGTTTTAGACTATTTTGTTTCAAAATTCATACAAACCAAAAACACATTGTATATGGCTGCATAAATTTCTGCTACCTCAGAATTTCACCTAATACTTACAGCGGGTCCGTCGCGGATGCGAACAGTGACTTATATTGGTAGAGTAATTTTTTTTACTGTGTTTACGTCTGCGTGCTTGATTTTTTCTGCTTTCTTTAAGTGAAAAATCTTTTTTGACCTTTTTTACTTTCTATAAATGAAATTTAAATTCAGTTTTAATCAAATATGATTTCTTGATTCGATTTCGGTTTTCAAATTGTTATCATTGATCATTTTAAAAAGCTTCTACATGCTCTTGAAAACATACATAGTTATTTTCAACTTTTTCTCTTTTTCCTCTAATGACTCTGACTTGCATTTTCATTCATCTATACTTATCTTTTCATACACCAATTGGAAGGATTCTTGATTCACAGTTATTTTTTTGTTAGTACCTAAAATTTGTCCGGAAACTCTTCCATAAAATCCAGAAATTTTGTTTGCCCTTTCAATATATACTGCTTGTAGTAACTATTTTCCGAAACTAGTCCATAGTGTTTGCTTCTTTTCTTTTTTTCAGTTTTTTTTCTGTGCAAACTTCTTTTGCTTTTATGTGTTAAAAAGGTCAAATATTAAAACATTTTAAAGAACTCAATTCAGTTTTAGGTTGGCAGATCTTCATTTGGATTCGTCATCTTCATCATCATCATCATCATCACCTGACGTAGTTTTGAATTCAGGCGACTATGCGTCTAAGGACAATGTTGAATTTGTAGATAATGTTGTGGCTTCCGAATCAATGTTGTCTTCAGAATCAAGTGTTGTCACTTCATCTGCTCAACATGAACAGACTAGCAGTAGTGGCAACCGAAATAACTTTGCTAGTTTTGATTATTACACACCACCATCGTCGCCAGAGCCGATCTATATTTATGAAGGGATTCCATCGAAGGATGATGAGGAACTAGCAATTGCGCTTTCCTTTGTAAGTTATTGTGCACAGTAAGTATGTAAAACATACATTATGAATGAGAAAGGGTGCAGGAAAAAATTGATTTTTTAAAAATCAACCTATCACCCCTTTTCTTGTATTCATTTAATTAACATCCGTATTTATTCATTTTTGTGCAAATATTTGTTATCAGTTATTTATTCTTTGCTGTACAACACATTAACTTAAGATTATTATACCTGATGAGGTTGTAGTCCATAAGCGATGCATTAATGACTTATCAATTGAAATATTTGATGGGAGTTCTCTCACTATACAGTTGTACCTCCCACTATCGATGCAATTATCTGCTGTATACCCTGTACACCAGCTGAGTATAAAATGATCATAACGTCCTGTTATTAGGCTGCTGTTAATTTAATTTACCGATTCGCAGACCAGTGTGTAGAGTATTTTATAGTTTTACTTCGTTATTCCAAAACTTATATTCATATGTACTTCAAGTTATCTAGTCATTTTTATTGTCGGTGAGTAGCGGAATTTTTTTTTGTTTGAATCCGTCTATCTTCAATTCATTTCATTTTTTGCAAAATTGTTTTAATTAAGGTCAATCCGCAGCTGATTCAGCGTTTTGGTGTTGTTGCGGAATATTTGCGACATTTAAACAGCGTGCCGGAATCGGAGCGCTCCCAGTGGCCATTCACCGATTCACCACGTGCCAAAAAACGCAGAATGTAAATTTGAAGTATTGTTTTAAACGGGTTGCATTGGGTAGAAAAAATTTTTTCTTAATCTCTCACTGATGAAGTTCTTTTTGGATGATATTTCGAAGTTCTGTCTTCATATCAAATATGTGTGAATGAATGAAAAACTTGTATTAACGTAATGTGTTTAGGGTATGTGGCGCCACTTCAGATGTATCTGACCTGATAGTTTTGGTAGTCGTGTTCGAATTTTTTTCACTATTTGAATATGCCTTAACTCTATACCTCTGTCCTGTACATAATATTAATTTGGAAGGAAAATTTAAGTATGTAGGAGTAAAATTATTCATTTAATGGATTAAAAAAATTGATATGAACCAACTGTTTTCTAGTCAGATTCAATATGGCTGAGATCGACTATGTTATACAATCTTTGAGCAATGGCAATAGATAAGTAAATAGCTATAAAATAGCTACTTTTGTCATTACTTTTGTTCCGGAGTATCTGGTTCATATCAAGCACAAAAGGCTTGTGCAAATGAAGAAAGTTAGGTCTGAAATATTTCGGTTTATATTTTCATCGTAATGAAAAGGGTCTTTGTCTAGTTGTTTCGTGATATGGATAACTGTAATTTAAAACGGTTAACTCATTCAGAAAGTGTTTTTAATCCTGACGTTTTTTTAGTAAGTAATTCAAAAAATTGCGGACAAAAAATAGTACTTTACCTGACGTGTGTTTTTACATTCCATAAAGAAATTAAATCTATACAATTCCGTCTGAGAAGCGTCATATATTCAATTTAATATTTAATATGGACTATTTCGGCTCATCTGTGTCTTCATCAGCTTTACAGCATTAGTTGGCACTGTATTACATTATTTGTGATCCTGTTCGAATTCATGTGCTAAAAATAAATGTCTTCATAATATTAAGATCTGCGGATTACAAACATCGGAAGTGATCATATATACAAAAAAAAAAGCTCAAATTTACACAATATACGTTGCAGTAGTTCGTTACAGTAGTCCTAAGAATTCTTCAGAATTCAGTCTGATTGAAATTATGAATACGAAAGATGAAAGGCTGAGAGATATGAAGTGAACTGGTTTAAAATTTATAGATAAGAAAGATAAAAAAAAGAACAAGCATATGGAGGATGGTTAAGAAGGATTGAAGAAGTGGCTTGCATTCTCGAAGTAAAAATGCTTCTCACACATCGATTAACTTATATAGTCTTCCCATCTTTCGCTCCTAACAATGTACTTCTTCGCTATAATATTTATGATTTCCATAAAACAGAGTAATATTATTAACGTTTAAGCAGAATAATTTAATTGGATTAAATTGAAGGTTTTAAAAAAAATTTGTAAGCAAACGAGGGACTCATGAAATCGATGTGTTTTATAAGCAGCATAGCATTTTATGTGTTGAATGAAACGGGAAGCACACCACCATCACCACCATTTCCGCATCTCACACTGTTCTCTTAATATTCTTAAAACAAGAATGTGAACACCAAAATAGTCTAATTACTGCTGCAGTTCTCTGCGTTGTTCACTTACTTACTACCTAACCGAAACTTTTTAGGATTAGGATTTATTTTCAGTAGGAAAAAAACAAATGAAAAATTGTTTCATGTTATTTCCGAGAAGGAAATAGTCTTAAAAAATCAAATAGTATTTGATTGAATTATAAAGATAATTTTGCTGAATAAATATATTTAAAGATTTAATTTTTTATTTACCAGATTTAAAATCTTTCCATTTCATATGTCAATTTCAATTATTGAGCGATGTTAAAATAAAATGTTAGTTGTTATTATCACATCAGATACTGATGTCAATAACAAATATTATTCTTCTTTTCGAGCTTCAATAACAACAATAATTAAAAGTAGGAGACCGAGTGCATATTCGTTAGCTATAGTCGATAGCAATGACAAGTTTTCGAATTGAAATTATGAGTTTGCTATAATGGGAAAATGATGGACAAAGTTAACAATTAGGTTTTCAATGATAAATCTTATTTTTAAAACTATTCTTTTACCTTCTCTTTTCAGCCCACTGATTACTTATTGATTTATCTGTCTCTTCATATCCATTTAAGCTCATTTGGTGTTGAGGTAGATAGAAGGAGGAGGTATGGAAGCTTTTAATATACATCAAACTAAATCTTATAGGGAAGAAAAATTTTTCCCTTCTCCTCTCATTTCTTATCATATGACCCATATTTTCTGCAAATTTTAAATTATTTTTTTTCTTATGCATATATATATTTTTTGCTTAACTTTTATCTTTTTATATCATATTTTATTAATAAAAATTTTTAATAAATGTGTGACAATATAATATTCCGTGTTATGCATATCAGTCGAAAACTTTTATTTCACTTCTTTCCCGGATCTTTTCTCTATTCTTTGAAATCTCCTACTATCCGGATTGTATTCGTGTCAACATCTTTTCATTTCTTTTTTTCTCATATTATTCTTGAAGGTTCCATTGGCAGTCTAATCAGCAATATAGCTAGGATGGGTGAAATTTTTGATAAATTGCTTGTTAGGTATATATGCATAATCAATGTACAACCTTTTATTTTTATCATTCAGAAAAAATCTGATTTTGTAATTGAAGAATTAATTACGAATAACTGATGGGTGTATTTTAATTTAAATTATCGGAATGGACAATTTGCAATTTGATAATTTTTATTTAAGGCCGGATTATCTCAATTCTTGAAAAGTGATATTACAGTTGATTAAAATGATTTTTCAATCAAATGAATTAATTTTTTACTATTTTGTTCGAAAAATAAGTTATTCATTTAAACATTTGGATAATGATTCAATTCTTAATTTTTTTTAAAAATAAATAGAGAAAAACTAAAAAATAATCGTCCCTTTAAACATAAAAGGTAAAAATAAGCCCATATCGGATTGTTAAGCTAAATTATCTAGAAGAAGGCAACAAATTAAACCAAATTCTTTTTGATTGTGTGATTCTTAAATCCTTTAAAGTGATTCTTTAATTCATATTTATCTCCATTTATTGATATTTGAATAGAGTATCTGTAAGTCATATTGAAGTTTATTCAAATACATCAAAAGCATCAAATGCGTAACAATGGTATCAAGTCAGTTAAGTACTGCAATTCTGCTTCATTCGAGACTATCATCCTGGCTCGAATTTAATTTCAATTCTCTAAACCGTTAATAAGTTGGTGATTGTATATTGTGTATGGTAAAACTTTGTTGATTTATATTTTTGAAGGTATATTTAGGGCTTTTTGCAAGAAAAAATCAACTCATAGGATCAACTCATATTTTGCAACACGGCTGCGTGATTTAGTTATAACGCGATTAACATATTAAACATTGAAAATACTCTATAGATTCCCTCCAATATTCATAAACTTTTTAAATAATAAAATAATTTGAGATACGACTTCGATTAGAATTTATTTCCCATTATGCATTCATTTACCGTTAATTGTTTTCAAAAGTAAACCAATGCTTTTTGGGATATAAAAAAAAAAGCTATTCCAAGCTGTCAAATGGTTTTTTTTGCCTTTTTCACCTTAAAAGGCAAATAAAATAATTGTTGATTGTTCCAACGTCATTTTGCTTCTTCAAAAAATGATGGAATAGGATATAAGTAAAAACAAGAAAAACATATTATCCAATTGAAAAAAATTTTTTCTTGAGCTTAATGGCAGCGTGTATATTTTCAAAAGAAAAAATACCAAAGGTAAACAGAACCATGCAGTAAACATTAGCTATAATATCGAAGAAAGGGATCGATATAAACCCAAAAAATAATATAATTTTTAGATTATTTGTGGTACAAATTCAATTGAAAGAAAACTTCGTCTTTTTCCTCTTTTTACATATGTCCGGAAAAATCAATAATTCATTAATTAAAAACTAGAAAAATCAATAATTCATTAAT